TATTGTAATATGAGACCTTTCTTTCGCTTTCTTAAGCTTGTAAAATCTTCCAAATTTTTTCTACATTCCTTTGAAGGCTTATGAGGAAAAAGGAATTTTTTCTTTTAGGGTATTTTTAAAACAGAGTGTTTCTCAATCAAAATCTGTATGTAACTGAGGTACCCACTCTGTCATTGTATTTTCTTTAATAATACTACAAAGTAGGGTTTGTTTTTAAAGCATTGACCAGTCAAACCTTTTGTTTTGTTTAAGCCTTCATTTGCATTTCTATTAACTGAACTTTCTATCTACCTATCTATCTATCTATCTATCTATCTATCTATCTATCTATCTATCTATCTATCTATCTATCTACCTATCTATCTACGATATCGAAATTGTGTAAGCTTGCGTTGCTTGACGGTTTGCGGCATTCCTCCACAAGCATGAGAGCGAGGCAACCGTGAAAACGAGGCGGCTGATAAGAAAACAAATAACTTGGTTTGCTCCTCGTAAGTCTCTTCGCTCTCTGCTTCTCGTGGTACGAAGCTTGATTGAAAATCATGAAGAATTGCTCTCCTCCTAGAATGCTCAAAATACTTACAAACGCACATCATTCGCGGTAGACCTGCATTCAATCAATGAGGTTTAATACATCATCTTACCTTTACATTACCTTGAATCCTGCATAGATTTAATCAACCTATACCTTCAAGGATTTAAGCTCGGTTAATGTTTATGCTGTTATGATATGTATGATTAATGATTGGATCAACAAGTTAATCGAAATTTATGTAGATAAAAAAAACCCTGCACAAATATGAGTAAACTGTACCATCAAGCATTTAAGCTCGTGATGTTTATGCTGTAATGATATGTATAGTTAATGATTGAACTCGTTATCAACATCTTATTTAAAATTTATATAGATAAGAAAATCCTTCACAAATATAAGTAAACTGTAACATCAAGCATTTAAACTCATTTAATGTTTCTTCTTTTATAACAATCATTTTCAGCGTTTCAATAAAGCTTGAACTATTCATTTGTTGATTGACCATTTCACCTCTATTTCATTTTCAACCTAGGGTATCCCCAACGTTTTATCCAGGGTTTTTGTGATTATTAGGATTCCTAGAAAACATTTGGCATGTGCAATACTGGAGCGAATTTAGTTTTACAAGGATATGGGAGACCTCGAAACAAACATAGTATACAGGATATTTGGCTATCTTTGCAAATTCACCTAATGAACCCTTGATTTTCATTTCCTTTAAATTAGCATAGTAGTAGATCCTAATGTTCATCGGAAGAGGGTAAAAGGTGTGCCATGTCCGGAAAAAAATGTGAAAAAAGCAATGGATGTGCATGTGTACGAAGGTAAACTTGCCAATTTTGGTATATTGTTGCAGATAGATAATATGTTTTAAACATTTCATTTGTATTTGATAACAAAGGCCACATTCGCTTTCTACAAGCTTAAATTTTGGGAGGTATGCTCAAACGCTCAAAGCCTTATCCTCAAACGCTTGAGATACGCTCAGTGCTCTCGGCAAATGGAGTCTCTTGGATTTCTTTCAGGTGTTTGATATTTAAACGCCCAAGATCTAATTTACAATTCTCTTTACTTTCTGCCATACAATTTTTATGATGCTGTTTCTGAGAAATTGGCGTTGGATAATCTAGAAAATCCTTAAAGTTATAATTCTTTATCCTCATCACCTGCCTGATTTATATTTTTAAGAGAAATTTTGCTTTCGTCACTCATGGGAGTTAAAGGGTTTAGTGATTGTTTTCATTTAAAAGGTCCTTATGCAAGGTCCTTATGGTCCTTTCTGTGTCACACATAAGTAACCTAAGACTTGAGATGAGAATTTCAGCTTCATTTTGCTCATGTTTCCTTAGTACTTGCTGCGATCAGTCCTGCCATACTATTCCATGTGACTTTACGTTCCAAAGTAATAGTGATGGACAAAGCTTTGATGCAGGCTCAAAATACTCATTAGAAATACCTCGATTATATTTTTGGTTTAGATCGAAAACGACCCTGTTAACTTACGATTATTCGAAGCGCTTTATATCCGAAGGTAAAATCCAGAACTTTTAAGACTCCCGGGAAGAATGTATTGAACTATGAGACCTTTTATTCTAAACTAGACTACTTAGATCTTTTGTTCTCGCTAAAACTCATCGGCAATTTTCTATGTTATAGTGTGTTACCATCGCTGATAAGACATGTATGTGACTCTTAAACTCAGTGATCAGTAGCAACTGTCTTTAATGACCAGAGAAAGGAACAAGTAACACAAGATTCATATATCCTAACTTCTCCCTTCTTTTGGAGTAAGCTTACTTCGAAAACAAAACATAAACATAACCGGTAGTCAGAGTCTCTAAAATGAATGCTTAGAGTTCTATTGAGCTGAAGTCAATTTTCACACAGCCAATTACACAAAAAAGTCACTGAACCTCGAGGATGGCTTTAGAGCTTTTGCTCGAGTATTCTTAACTGGAACAGATTTTGGGGTCGATATTTGCTTCGGTTCATGATTAGCTGGTATAAAAGCCTGCTTTAAAGGCTGGCTTTCATTCTTTATAGAGACTGGCTGTCACTGCCTTCAACTGGCTTGGGTTGTTCAGCTGGTCGTTCAGCTTGCTTCAGAAATTCCCG